CAACAGAAGAAACACGAATGAAAAGCCCAACACAATCGCGCGTGACTGGCAACAGTAACTGGACTCTTGACACTGGTATCAAGAACCTGGAGGCCAGGGCGCTGACATCAGTGCGTTTGAGTAATGTCCTCAAGAACAGGCGTCATCAGTCACGGCTGGGGAGCAAATGGTCACTCGGCAGACGGAAGCAAACCAGGATATAGGATTTAAGACCGAAGACTGGGCATTCCTGATGCAGATTAAAAAAAATATATCTATCTATCTCCATTTTCTAAACCGCTTGATCCTCACAAGGGTTGCGGGGGGTACTGGAGCCTGTTCCGGCCGTCTTCGGGCAGTAGGCGGGGGACACCCTGAACCGGTTGCCAGCCAATCGCAGGGCACACAGAGACGAACAACCATCCACGCTCACACTCACACCTAGGGACAAGTTAGAGTGTTTACTCAGCCTGCCATCCATGTTTTTGGATATATACTGTACATATGCACGTAAAAACACACACACACACGCACACACACACACACACACACACACACACACACACACACACACACACACACAGACACGCACACATGTGTTACATGAAATCTGTCTGTGGCGCAAAGCCGGATGCGGACGTGCGCCAGATCAGCTGATCGTCGCACGTTCCCATGCTGTAAGTCTTCAAGTTTATCCCGGGTGATGAGGGCGGTGCGTCGGGGAGAAAGATGAGCACCAAGCAGCAACCCCCGATGTTCATTTGAGATTTTTATCATGCATCATCCCCCCCCCCCCGGTAAAAGTGACTGGGGACAACTTACAGCTGTGTCAAATTCTTCTCCCACGCAGTGTGCAAAAGAAAATATCGCAAAATATTCCAGACGTTTTCTGTTTTTATACTTTGTATGTTGGCTTTGAGTGGCAAGAAAGGTGGCTGATGGGAGAAACGGTGTAGCGCAACAAAAAAGGTCATGTAACGCCCTCGCATATGGGGCAAGGAGAAGCGCGGAGTGACGAGCCAACTTGACTGGAGCTTTGTCACGAATTGACATTTTTATATAATACAGTGCTATGATTCTTTATTAAAAGCGAATCCATTTTTTTGGACCAGAGCATGGTCATCGCAGCGGAGGAGGGGTGCATTCCCAAGCTCCCATCAGCATCCAACTCTAAACTCTCGACATCCCTGTCCTGTCGTGTCGTGGCAGACATTTTTTTTTTTTTTTAACGGAGTGAACTAGGGGAAAAAAAATAGAGTAAGAGTCCCTCGAGGATTGCAGGAGGGAAGGGTGTGTGTGTGTGTGTGGGTGTGTGTGCGTGTGTGTGTGTCGGGTCGTTTTCCGTGGCGAACGCTGTTAATAGCAGGCAAGGGGTCAGCGGCGCAACTAAACAGTGCGTCCGACTGCCAGGGTGGCTGTGAAAACAGCACCTGCCGGCAGCGCCACTTGACAAAGGCAGCTGGGTCAACAGCCACTGTGGGAATTGAGCCACTTTGGAGACGGGCGGGAACCGCACAGCGCTCGCACATGAGATAGTTGCACTGCCACTGAGCGTGGAGTCCGATACTTAAAATGCTCATAGAAATATGATCGGCAGAAGTGGCGACGTTACTGATTTGTCAGTTTGAGTGTGGTTGTTTTTAGCTTGTTGGGTGTGTCCGATTGACACGAGGGGTGGTCCAACAATGGTTTCCTCAAATGTCCCAGTGCGGTCTCCTTTCTAACGGTTGTTAGGGTGGTGCCTTATTTGTGCATTGCGTTTCACTTGGATTTTTTTTAATTATTATTATAATTATTTGAACTGAGTGAAAAGAAACCGATTCATAAATGAACATTTCCGTTAGCCCGCCGTCTATGGTGCTTCGCATTACATGGTAGCACTAAGCTAGCTGAGTGTCATTTCTAGTTGGAGTGGACATTTTGGTTTTTAAATATACAATGCTTCATTTTCTTTTGTTTTATGCGTCGGTTTTACAGCAGGTTTCAATTGGAAGTGCCAAAGCCAGCTTGAAACAAGCACACTAGGCCTCTTATTCGGGAAACTGTGCGAATGAGGGAGCGGGAACTAAAGAATACTTAAAAAAAAAAAAAACTGTCTTTTAAAAAGTTAAAAAATGTTTAAAGCACGTGTGTGGGGTAAATTTATTTATTGTAAAAAAAAAAAAAAAGTTTTTTTCACCTTTGACAGGTAGGTCTGGAAGGTATCCACAAGATTCGCTTGTATATGCATTTTCTTGTAGCGAGAGTTGGTGTGGAAGAAGGGAGCGCGTCAAGTACACAGAAAGAATTCTCCTGTTTGACAGTCAACGTCACACACGTCACATAATCAACGAACGTCTCCGGCTTCTTATTTATACAAACGTATTTATCTGAGCCTGCGTGCGTATTTGTGTTTGCTGTGTACAGATATAAACCGTGTGGGTGGCGCGTACATGTGAACATGCACATCTGCGGGGCCCGTGTGAGCGTGCGATATGCTAACTCTCAGCATGGTGTCGGGAAGGGGGAAAAAAAAATCCCTTTATTTTCCTGTCCCTCTTAAATCTTCTGCCATCTCCGCTGTGGTCCTCGCTTTGACAAAGCTGAGTGAATAGCGGCTGCTACAATACACAGTAAATATTCTTGCACAATTAAAAATAAGGAGTGACATTACAAAGGGTGGCCACCGTCTAACAATGGTCAGCGAAAGAGACCACAGTGGTAACTTAGGATGATAAAAATCAAGGCTTTCAACGATCGACCACAATGTTAAACGTTGATGTTTTATGATGTTTTGAGAATAATGAATAATTTTGTGACAAAAAAAAAAACCCAAAACAAATAAAAACAGACATTTAGTTGATTCATGAGAATTAAGTTATAAAAGTGCAGAAAAAAATGTCAGTTTTACAAGAATAAAGTCTTTATTTAACTTTTGATTGTAAAATTGTATTTTGAAAAAAAGAAAAAAGCGAGAATAAAGTTGCAATATTATCAGTAATATGATCGTTACGCTATGGGGGAAAAAGTTGGAGCTTTACGGGGATTAAAGTCGCAATGTGACGAGTAATAAAAAAAAGTTGTCTTTTTATGACCATCAAATCGTAACATTACAAGAAAAAAAAACAATGAAGTCAGCATTGAGAACAATGTGACAATATTGTCAGAAAAAGGTTGTAATTTTGCAAGAATAAAGTCATCATGAAATGGAGGGCAATTATTGCGCTTTATTGACACCACATGGTGCCAAGAGTGCTTTCCGAAGCCTCATATTCACGAGGAAAAAAAAAAAAAAAACATGTTGGGGAAAAATTCGAAATGTAGTGAAGTATTTCAATGAGAAGTTTGAAAATTTAAAATTCAAATATGATGAGAATAAATACATCATTTTACAGCGATAGTCATCATAGTGCAAGAATAAAGTTACAACATAAAACAAGTTGGAATTTTGCAAAAATAAAGTTATGTCATGAGAAAAAAAAAAAACTTTGAATTTTTACCGGTAACGTACTTTGATGACAACATTTCACCAGGAAAAAAAAACAAAAAACAAGGACAATAAGCGCATTTTATTGCCAGAATGAAGTCGGAATGTTACAAGAGAAAAGTCACAATCTTAGTAAACCAGTTTGGACGACGTCAATCGCACCGTAAAAGCAGCGAGCGCCACAAATTTCGCTTCTTTATCTCTCTTTGTTCCACAAGGAGTCCATTCAGCGGTTTTGAATGCATGCTGGCCTATTTATTATCAGAGGCGTACCTCCGCTGACAAACAAATACCTCCGAATGAAGTCATCTGGCCAAGACATGTTTACGCAAACATTGCTGAGGGATTTGATGGCCAAGGTTTCCCTGTAAGGACCTTTCGCGCTTCGTCTCAAAGCTCCTTCGTGTTCCCAAACACGAAGGAGCTTCGCCACCAGTCCGATAAAGTTGCAACGACATGACAATTTAGGCCTACTCTGAGGACAATCAAGTCGGAAAATTACCAGGAAAGAATTACAAAATTCAGTCCTTTTATTTTACAAAAGTACAGTTGATGAATGAAAAAAAAAAAGTTGCTATAAGTAAAAGAGTGAAAGTTTTGCAAGATTAAAGTCGTCGTGTCATGAGGAAGCAACATGAGATGGGAAAGTCATTTAAAAAAAATGCCCACATTTTGAGAATAAAGTCATACTACCAGGAACCGCCCCCCCCCAGAATTTTAAGAATAGAGCTTTAATGTTCTGAGAAAAAAGTCACAAATATATATA